CACAACGACGACGACGACGACGACGACGACGACGATAACGACGACGATGACGACGACGACGACGACGACGACGACGACGACGACGACGACGACGACGACTACGACGACGACGACAACGACGACGATTACGACGATGATAACGATGACGACGACGACGACAACGACGACGACGACGATGACGATGACGATGATGATGATAAGGACGAGGGGAAACGTGAGACTGTCGCCGAATCCACGCCGACGGGAACGATGACGAAGACGATGATGACGACGGAGATGACGACGACAATGATGACAATGACGACGAAAACTCCGACGACGATAGTGCTGTTCTAGGCGTCGCGGCGCTCACACACCGGCTCACTGAGCTCGAGGTGGGCGATACCGGCGGAACGGAGGATCACGGCTATGACCGACAAAGACCGAGAGAACGAGCCGGAGCTTTCCGACGGGAAGCGCAGGCGCGACGAGAGGCAGCCGTACGCGCGAACGCGTCTTTCCGTCTCTGTCCCTTTGCGTTATCTCTCTCGCGCGCTTCTCTTTCTATCATCCTTCGTCTGCTTTCATACGTGAACGCCGTATACGCCGTTTCTTTTAATCCCGTCTCAATGCTCGGAGCGCTCTGTATATCGTTGTTGTACGCTCTTTGGGGAGGAATCGTGGCTCCGGTAGTATCGATAAATGCGATTTCGCATCTCTCTTTTCTTTTCTCAATTTCTCTCTCTCTCTCTCTCTCACTCTCTCACTCTCACTCTCAAATCGACCTTTTCCTCTACGCGTCATTCGTATGCCGCGTTTCCTATGAACTTGGAAAGGTCGATAGGGATTTGGCGTGGAAGTCGTTGGACGGTGGTCACTCTTGTTGACCGTCGTCGATGTCGTCGTGATTGTCGACGTCGTTGATGTTTGATGACACATGAGGTGCTCTGGGCACTACGGATGTGCTTGTCGAGCGGACCGCGTGTGGTCGAGAGTTGTACTTCGCTTTGTGATGCTATACTTCAGGTACACGGTTCGGCAATAACGAACTCGAGAGAAGGGGGAAAGTGAAGAGAAAGTAGAAAGAAGAGAGAGAGAGAGAGAGAGAGAGAGAGAGAGAGAGAGAGAAGGAAAGGAAAGGGAATGGTCCTTTGAGCGATGTAGGTCTGGTCTCTTCCCGCCTGGAGGATACTTCCGGCCCTTTTCCACGAGGCTTCCGGAGCCCTTCTTCTCGACCGGCCCCAAGTGGTTTCGTACCGTGTACCCGGGCAGGAAACTGACAGAAGCGCTGTTATGCTGCTGGAACATAATCGACGAGGAAATTACGTGTACCGTGCGCACGTCACATGCGACGCCGGTACACTCTTGCCGCGGCTAATTTACAGTACGTCCTGAAAGTACGAGCAAATTGCTTCCAGTAATTGCTTTCAGAAAGACCGGCTACTTTTATTTCACGCAAGTAGGTTAAAGTTATATTCTAAAAAGGGATAATTTTTTCAAAGAAGGAGGTGGAAGCTCAGCTTAATTATATTGACCAATTATTCTAATTAGGCTATTATGCGTAAGGGCTTTAAATATTGCTGTTAAGAGCTGCATAAAGAGCAATGAGCCCGCATTTAGCGCTCAATGAGACCCTTCGAGATTTCCTATTTATATCAAGTCATACGACAAATCGTATGAATACGATTAATTTCTTATTTAGAATCATTAAAATTCGCGTGATGATTTTTCGTGGTAGACAAAAAAAATAAAGTCAAGGTAATTGAAAAAATGACTAAAGTCAAGGTGCATCTAACAATTGCGACAATATCTAATTACTTCGAGTCAGGAAAAGACATTTCATCCGACTACAGTGTTCTGAAATCGTCGCTTTGACGATTTCAGAACACTGTAGTCGGATGAAATGTCTTGCATATGGAACAAAATATGTACATATTTTTCTTCCTTTTCCCGGGAGAAATTAAAGTCGCCAGTTACTCCCGAGCCTAATGCTAAGTAAGAGAAACGCTACGTAAACCTATTGATATAACGCGGTTACGTTTCGCAATTATATCCTTCCGTCGACCGACTTTTCTGAATTGCTCCGTATTCAAGATGAAAAGCGCGCCCGGCGTTTCGCTTAATATGTACGGCGACCTAAAGCAGATAGTCTGAGATGCTTATGGACTTTAGAGCGATATTTTCAAAGTGCACCGGGGAACGAGGGAAACGTTAGTCCCTCCTTCCTCTCCTCCCCATCCGTACCATTACCCGCCAGGTAAACAAGCTCTTTATACACGTACAACGCGATATATGTATGATGCGGCACTGCAATTACCCTGTCTATCTTACAGTGAGGTAGAGTCACGAGCAAAAAGGGAAAGCTTGCCACTCGTGGCCGCTGTGCCCGTAAGAAGCTCTAGTATCGGGATGTTTGAACATAAAAATGCGCGGCGCTCGCATGCGAATGTGTATGCGCGCACGCTGTGTGTGTGTGGGGGTGGGGGGGGCGCGCGCGCGAGGATTCCACGTTTGTATTATATCGTCGGATTTTACATTCGCGCGCGTCTCCGACGATTTCTCAATATTTAACACACCCCACGCGTAGGCGTACCTCCATTTTCTCCCGACCTTCGACCTTTGACGTTTGGATGTACGCGAGAAATTTCGCTTGGACGGTCATAAAATATGAAGAACGTATTTAATCCAGATGATAAGACGACTCATTTCCTTTTTACGCGCTCTCTGGATCCGTATCCAGGATGAATCCTACTCAATCTGCAGATATAAAGACCAAGTATGTACTCGAGCTCGGAAACGAGATTCCCATTGACTTTATCGAGAGGCTTATTCCCATATGCAGGCCGTACATTGGCCGCCAAATATGGCTGTGAGCCTCTTTCCATGTTTACGCTAAATGCGATCTCGATGATAAACGAGGAAATGTCAAAATCGGGCATGCATACGGGTATAGTGATGCGTTTACGAAAGGATATATATACGATATCCCATAATTGAGTGATGCACTTTTCATGGATAGGTAGAGTAGGTTATACCGAATAGGAAAATCCTTTACTATTTTGCGATTTTTATAATAATTAATATTAACTTATTATGTTCCGCGCCAAGGGGGATCAGGTTATTAAGGGACACTTAAGTTGCTAAGCGCGTGACAAGATATTTGGAAATGCACTATAAATGGATATTCTATCATTTGTAGATTACATTTTCAAATATCTTGCTGTACGCTTAGTAACTATAAGGCATACTATAATGCCAATTCTTCGCATTGTTAATATGAGTCTTTATAAATTAATATCTCATTAATGCAAAAATCACACAATAGTATAGAACTTTCACTATAATCCATTTTATAACCTTGTCCATCAAAGATACTAATTATGAGACATTATATATACTTGTGCTTTTGAATTTTATTATTTATAATCTTTAATGTAAAGTCTCGACAAATTATCAAAAGACAGTGAGTAGTATTAACTAAATTCACATATAAGTACAGAAAAAAATATAATAATATTTATATAATATAATATAATAATATAATAATATTTATATAATATAATAATATAATAATAATTAATATATAATTATTGAAAAAAAGCAAAAATACTGTCAATTCCAAATAAATCTTTATTAAAAAAACTAAATGAAAGAATTTAAATTTCCATTGCTGATTAACATATATATATGCGTTTGGAAACAGCGTAAATTTAGCGTAAATCAATATCTTAATGAACAGTCATTTCCGCGTCAACTTTCACGTTCAGACTCTCATTTATTCCGACCTGAAGGCAATGAATATACGCTCGTTGTTGACCAAAGTGCGCGCGAGTGCAGAAACGTGAATTCCGGGAGTCGATCCGCTCGGAGTTTTCGCTCGTGACTTTAATATTCGCGCGAGTCGACAAGAACCAGCGGGCATGACGGATGACGCCGCAGCAACAAGCGGGCCGTCGATGGCGCTCATATTGCGAATATCCGACTAGCGTATGCACACTTCCCGGGCCGGCATCAAAACGTTCTATATATGCATGCGCACCGCCCCGCGTATCCCGCGTATCCGCGCGCACGTGTCGCGCGAGACGCAATCGCGAGGATCCGCGGATGGATCGATACGAATCATGCGAGAGGCTGCGCTGCGCCCCATGCCGCGCTGGACCCGCGAAATGTATGAATATTCCGCGCGTGCATCGCATTCTCTCCGAATGCGGCGTACGTAGTTTCGTCGGCGCGCAACGGCGAAAGTATTGTACCGAGATGTGTGTACGTATATGTATATATACTCGCGCAAATCCGACGTAAGTCTAACTTGAACGCGAAATCGCGCAAATTAAATAGCCCTTCGTGTTTCAGATTTTAACTGAAAATGCTCTTCCCTATTTTGCATTGAACTCTACATATTAAGCAATTAAGATCCAATTAAGATTTTATATTAAAATGCAATTCTGCGTTGTTTACATTGATTGCATAGAGATCGCGCGAGTTGTAGCATATCCGCAATTCGATGCAATTTTCATTAATCGTTTTCGTTGATTTTTTAATATTTTTTTTACGCTGGAACGATTTAATTTGTGATTTGAATCAATGCGACTCGTAAAGAGATTATAGATCATTTTGTTTTTTTTTTTTTTCTCTAGTAATTGTCTGTCGAATTTTTCACCTTGTCATCCTCTATTTTTCTCAATTCATAAGTCATTCCTGCGTGATTTCCTTAACCGATACAACGGCAAGAAAGTGGTGGGAAAAATGGCGTGCGCTATCGCACACTTATGCGCTCCGATTATACGCGGTAAGAGCGCGCGATTTCAAAACACACGCGGCCGGTCGACTCGACTTCCAGTCGAATCGATCCGAGTCGTTCCGATGCTCGGCCGGAATTCTCGCGAGTCTTGCGGCTACGTTAATATCTCGAAGTGCGTATTGATACCTATTCAGCGGGAGAACAACCCCGCACTCCGACGCTCGCTCGAAAATTGCGAGCGGGTATTGGATTTGAGTACCATCGCTAGGCTAGAGGCGGCTGGAGGATAGCACAGTAGGCTAGCGCGCGTGTGCCTCGCGCGCCGCAATTACTTAATTGCTCGTATCTGATTGGGCCCGCCGCGGGGGAGGGATAACGGTGTCCTCGGTTCGTGATTTGCGCGTCGCGCGTGCAACGTGCTTCCATTGGCCGAGTTACCTGGGCGGCCGACGAATCAGCCATTCATTTCTGGAACCCCCGCACTGCCGGCGCTAGTAAACCCCTGTGAGAGAGAGAAAGAAAAAGACAGAGAGAGGAAAGGAGCGAGAGACTAACGGCGGCGTAGTATGAGGCGTGCGCGCGCGTCAAAGAGAGCGAGGGGGAGAGAGAGAAAGAGAGAGGACGAGTATCGAAGTTTCGAATGCGCTCGACATCGATAGCTAGCCGCCGTCGCCGCGCTGCGGCAACGCGGCGCGTCCTCGCGACAGTACGTACGAGGCCGACGCGCTCGCGTGTCGCAGAGAGATCGTAACGGCGAGATCGAATCAAGGAGAAAAGAGGAGAAAACGCGAAAGGAAAGGGTGGAAAAAGAGGAAGTAGGAGCGAGCGGGAGAGAAATATCACCGTTACGAGACAGAACGCGTCGTGACAAATGCCGGATAACAGATAAAAAAGAAAAAACAGAACAAAAGGGAGAAAGGGGAGAGAAAGAGAGTGAAGGAGAGAAGGCGGGAGGGAGAGGGAAGAAGCGAAGCGCCGATCGGTGGTGGCCGGTCGGCGGTGGGGCGCAGGGTACGCTCTCTCGCGGTAGCTGCGTCAAGCGTCAGTGTCAATATGGCCGTTGACGTGAGCGCAGTGCGCGTAGAGACGTGGACGCGATAGTAGTCTCGGTTCGAACCCTCTAACATGAGGTATACTGCGACCAGGAGGGACGCTTTTACGTAATACCCGGATATAACGAACATACCCGGCACGTATCCGTAAGATGAACTGCGCCGCGCCCGAGGCGGCCGCGACGGCGGCAGCAGCCGCCGCGAGCGGCGATCAAGTCGGCGCGGTACAAGGTACGTGGTGCATCATCCTCTTCGCCGTCGCCGCCATGTGTGCGTGAATGCGTGCAACGTGTTATCCACGCCTTCTCCCTCGAGGGACGACGAACCTCGTCGTCGTGTGTTTACGAGAACATCTCGGCGCGTAACTCCGCACACTCCAGCCAGAAAGAAAGAGAGAGAGAGAGAGAGAGAGAGAGGGCTCCCGCCGCGATCGATTCGCCGCTTGTCGCCGTTGTTGTTCGACTGTACCATCCGTTGTCGTCGGGCCTCTGCTCCGCGTCTTGAACAATGCTCTATCCGCGTGGACTTCTTCTCCCATCCCCCTGCGCGTCACTCGCGCGCGCGTTCGTTCGTTCGTTCACGCGTGCCGCGCGAACTCGTGATCACGGCGACACGACGGAGACTTCCTTCGTCGATTGATGACAATCGAAGGGAGACCGATGGTGCTTTCGACACTAGTGCGAGTGTCTGATGACGTGACTCGAAAACCGAAAGTGCCGTCGACCGCGAGGGAATGACCGCGCGGTTTTCGCCCTTCGAAGCGCGAAACGCTCGTGCACAACGCGCCTGAACCTCGTGTCCTTGCGCGTTCGACGAGCCAACTCTCGTCTCGAATTGTGACACGCTCGCCGTTTTACTTTTCTTCCTCCCAGCAAATAATTACAATGGAAAATCATAAATACGTATCCGAGAAAATCATAAATACGTATTTCACGAATTCCCTGGCTGCTCGCCCCGATGTCCTTTCAAGACACAATCGATACGTGCGTCGTCCTCGGGATTTACTATCGGCGTGTCCGCTCGTTCGCGACGACACCGCTTTGTCGGCCTTTCGTGCCTTTCGCGTCGGTGATTCGTGAACAGCCGGATCGATATAACTTCACAATTCAGAAATTTCAAGAGCGGCCCTACGAGTTTTAGTCGGTTTTTTCCACGATGATTCCGAAAGCTACCAGCCGGGCTCTCGTTTGTCTCTCGGCTCTCCCCCGAAACTACACAGTGAAACGCCTCGAAAAACGTGGCATTCAGCTGTGAACGTTACAGAAATATACAACCGGCGTTTTGGGCAATTTATAGTCTGCATGGGTTCTTTTCTCGGCACCTGCCGCAGCAGATGTTAAGAATGGTCAGGGTTGAAAATAATGAACAGTTTGGAAACGTGCGTGAATTACTTAAACGGATGTGACAATGGTCGCAGCTTTCGCGAGCTTTGTTGGATGTCTCCTTTTTTTCTTTTTCCTTTTACCGACAAATTTCAATGCGTCTCAAAATACTTGGAGGGATGAATGAGATTCTACTAATTCTAATAAATCGGATTTTAACGACACGTCGGATTGTACAGCGCGATGTCATTTTCGGCAATCGTTTTCTCCGGACTGTAAACATTGACGATTTCTTAATCGGTGATACCCCCCTTTTCGAATAAAACCCGTTAAAACCCTTTTCGTAATCGATGTAACACGATCTCTCCCAGTCGCGGCGAGGATATGATATTCTATCAATCGATATGTCTTTCGCGACTCTCTCGTTATCGGTATTACGCCGTTTATTGTTTTCGTTCCTTTGCATTTTTTTTTGCAACGAACTGGAACATGTTAAAAGATTCGCACGTCTGAATTGATGTTTAGATATCAAAAACGCGATGTTTAACAATGAAGGAAGGTCTAAACTAAACAGTGACGACGCAAAATCAACAATTATAGAATTATTTCCATGGGTCTCAGAATTTAAGAAAATGTGCAAATGTATATACGCAAACAAAAGTATGGCTTCTTTGGCAGAGCTTATGCAGTACTATATCAGGTAATACACTCAACATTTCGTGTAATATTATACGCAGTTTTCACCAGTATTATCATCTTGAGCACTGGTGTCGCTATTGCATGTGTTACAATATATGTTTAGTGTGCAGCAACAATTAATATCCTTGTTTAAAAATAAACAACAAATCCATTTGCCTGAGTTTCATGTGAAAATTGAGTTTTTGGATGACTTGAAAACTTTCAATCATTATAGCCGATCAATACTTGTTCTTACAAAATCAATATTTGATTAAAGTATTGACAGAATTATATTTCTATTATTGTATTTTCTGTATAAATAATTTTTCCGAGAAAGACAGTTGTTTTAATAAATGGTTGTAATACAAATTATAATAGAGACAGATAATTATAGTTTAAATTGTGATATTTTTTGCAAGTAGTCATTTGTTATACTTGTAAAAATAAAAATTACAATAAATGATGGAATTTTTAATGTATTATCGAAATAGAATTGTAATATTTGGAATTCAAGATTTTGGCAATACAGTAACAATTTTAGACAGAATTAGTCAACTTTATAATTAAAATGTACCTTATTTTTTAAATAGCTTATTGTAATTTCTTTTTTTT